GTTAATAAAGAACAACAGGAGTGTTGTGTTTACTTTTGGAATTTTTCAGGGTTCGTTTGGATATTTTTATACATTAACTGGGTTTTCTAGGCATTTCATGTGCAGAATTCAAATTTGAGCTACATGCACAAGCTCCAGTACATATAAATTGGTTGAAAAAAATTGTGTCCTTCGGGGCATGCTTAGGTCCCATGCAAGAAATGGGAATGAATTTCAAACACCGGAGCATTGTTGATTGCCTGCATAACATTGAGATACTTTGTTTTTAAGTTCTAGTAAATCAAAAACTCGTTTGAAATTCATGAACTTGGTATGCTATCATGGAATGGCACCCGACATGTTGTGATATCTTTTTTGTCCATTTTGAGAGAAGGCGCACTCGAATAACAGCCAACAAATGTATTCTGAAACAAATAACTGCCACTATAACATCTCAAACATTTTGTATAATTTAAATTGTGTGCGTTCTGTTAACCATTCATGTGATGACACGCCTCACTCTTTTAATGGCTAGGAGGTGTCGTGCGGATAGGTGCTTGAGTGCTTGACTAGAAAGAAGGCGTGCGAGCTGTACTCCAATGCGGAGGCTCACCGGGAAGCGTGTGAGCTGTACGCCATGCAGGCTCACCGGGAAGTGAGCCCTTTGACTTCCATGACCACCTGCCTTGCTCGCATCCTCTACATTAATGGTGCCCAAGCCATAGTTTAATACGGTTTTTAAATATAAAACACTCATCGCAAACGTTTTAGTTAGAACACTCGTATGCAAAACCGACAATTTCCCCAGGAAGCCAAGGGAAAATGTGCCTAGCAAGATTTGTGCAGCTCTTGATCACAAACGTTTTAGTTAGAAGACATGTATGCAAACCGACAACTTCCCCAGGAAGCCAAGAGAAAATGTGCCGAGCAGGATTTCTGCAGCTCTTGATCGCAAACATTTTAGATAGAACACCCGTATGCAAAGTGAGAGCTATGGTCTTCCACCTGAAGTCGAGGGAAAATCTGCAGCACAGGTTTTGTGCATCCCTTCAACGCAAACGGTTGTTTTGGATGACCCATGTGCAACCACGTACAAACAATCTGGTAAGATTTGCATCTGTCATATTGGGTATGTTGCCATTTGTCAAACTAGAAAGATTTACATTTGTTGATCTAGTAACGTTGCCATTTGTCAATCCTTGTAACACTGCGATTTGTCAAAATATGCAGCTAGAAATCACTAGCACTATCTAATTTTTGCAACTAAAATTCAGTAATTGAGCATAGATTTCATTCATAGATTAAGCAGTCATTCTTAATTTATACAAACAGTTCAACTCGACAGCTGAACCAACCAAACTTTTCCCCAATTGTTGCCAACCACGTATTCACATAGCTAGTTCAACTATATATACTAGCTAATTTTAAGTACATTGTACAGTTCGACCACACATCTATAGTCAGATGAACTGAACAAAATAGCCCCTAAATAATACTACTACCACGGAGGGGCTTTGTGCTACTTCCGGCAGCCTCTCCTCTGCCGAGCGTGCTTAGTAAAAGGCAGAGGAGGAGGAGGAGGAGGAGGAGGAGGAGCCTACCGACGAGCTGGAGAAATGCAATATGGTGCCTACCGCTGCTACATGTTGAGCGATGCTTGCCAGCTCGAAAACCCACTGCCGCTCCAAACGATCCCTCTCGAAGCGGCCGGACTACTTGTGGATCTCCTGATTCCTCGCCTCTGCGACGGTGTGTGTGGCGGCCACGGCTGCAGTAAGGCTCTTTGCATGCTTGACAAGGCGCTCCTCCTCCCGTAGGAACTCAATGTAGAGCGCAAGGTCGCTGACGCACGTGCGGGCTTCCACCTCTACCTCCTTCCTTCGGGCGGCGGCGGCGGAGTGGGTGATGATCCCAGCGGTCGACGGTGGGCTGGCGGCCACGACCACCACCTCCTGCCTTCGGGTCACGGTGGCAGAGCGGGTAATGGCCACGGTGGCCGGCAGTGGGGTGGCGGCCACGATGGCCACCTCCCGCCTTTGGGCCACGGTGGTGGAGTGGAAGATGGCCCTGGCTTTCGACGGTGATGTGGCGGCAACGGCGGCCAGCAATAGCTGCCGATGGGCAGCGGCGGTGGAGCGTGTGGTGGGTGTTCCGCGCAAACCCAATAGGGACGCCACGTGCACTACACTATGCCTGGGACTGCGCCGCTGCCGTGGTGTAGCCTCCCAGCTGGAGTTGTCCTTTGATGACAGGCGAGTGGCTGAGCGACAACGATGGACTGGTGCCATTGGCGATTGTGGGAGAAGCACACAAGATAAGCTACAGGGAGGAAGGGGAAATGCGACGCAGGACTCGTCAGCCGGCCATGAGGGTTTTTATAGCAGGGTGGTAAGCATTGGGATTTTGGGGGATTTCACCAAGTCGCGTGGGAAGCTTGCGCGGGAACCTATGAGGTTGCGCAGGAACGGGCTCGCCAACGATTCATTGGCACCACTGTTGAGGCGACCGCGGAGTGCTCTACTCGCGTCCCTCCATGCGCGCTCTACCAGCGGTTGGACGTGCGCACTATCACGTCGGGGGCTCTATATGCATGTGATTGCGCTTCGCGCGTTGCCACGCGATGCAGTTACGTGCGGCATGATGGAGTTACGCGCTGCAAATTAAAACTCCCATCAGGGCTTGCCGATATTCCTGGCCGTCCGGCTTCCCCTTTAATTCCCACGGCCATTATAACCTTAGTCTCTTCAACCTTTCGATCGCGCCCCACAACAGAACAAGCACACCCACGACAACACATAGAAAGGGGATGTCCAGTGGCGCTCCAATGGAGTTCGGAGAGCATAGAGTGGAGACCCACGCGAGGGAGACGGATCTCTCGGTGGTGTACACCATCGACCCGGCCATGGTGGATGACTACATCAACAACGTTGAGCAGTTGCTTGCTCGAGACAAGTATAAGGTGGTCAGCATCGACCTCCAGTACACCACCGATCGTCCAGGCATAGATTAGAAGGTTGCCATCGCCCATTTGTGCGTGGGCCATCATGTCCTCATCTACCACTACCGCATGGCCACAGAGCCTTGCGACTGTTTCAACAGGTTTGTCAACAGCATCGACTACAAGTTCGCCACGGTGGAAACCACCGGCGATGTAAACACACTCAGTGTTACGGGCTTGGTCTGCAAGAACCTTGTCAAAATCCGTGACCACTACAGGGTCTGGGGCAGCACAAAGAAGGACTCCCTGGTCGAACTCGCCTCGGCCATCATCGACCCCTACTACGAAAATATGAAGCAGGATTCCCAGAGAACAAGTCCCCTATCCTGGCACAGGGCCTGGATGTGACAACTGGATGAACCTCACCTCAGGTTCCTGGCCAAGAGTGTGTACACATGCTACGAGATGCACAGGCAGATCGTTGACATGAGGAAGTGCCTCATTACCCAAACCGACGAGCCCGAATCGAGCCACAAGCAGAGCAAGCGTCACAAGAAGTAGATGATGATCATATGATCATTTATGCTAGTTAATCATGCACGTAATATATAGTTTACTTTATTGGTGTGTGGAAATGGCATGTGTGTAGTAGCCACCTATGTAATTATGCATGTAATAGTTTACTTTGGTGTGTGCAAATGCCATGGTTGTAGTGGCCACCTATGTAAGCGGATGTTTAATTCGGTTATGCAAGCATGTCCTTGTGTGTGTGTGTGTGTGTTGTTGTTGTTGTTGTTGTTGTTGTTCTGTATGCAATCCCATCGCACAACACACACGTCTTATTAGCAGCAACCTTCTGTGTTATTATCGGTCTTCACACACATTTTTTATTACAGACATGTTTGTCGCGTATCACACACGCACATCTTGTTAAGTTGAACCATTTCTGTTCTCATGTCTCAACGCAAACAGTTCATCCGAGTGAACCGCATGCCGTATATCGCACACACCTTCATTTGGCTGACCATTTCTTTTGTGTTGCCTAATCACAAACAGTTCATCCGAGTGAACTGTATGCTGTATATCGCACACACCTCCATCTAGTTGCCCGTTTCTTTTATTCCTCGTCATAAATAGTTAACTGAACTGAACCGTATGCCCTACATCGCACACGCAACTAAAATCTAAACCGTGTTTGATGGCTCTGCCATCGCAAATGTTTTGCACCTTTTTTATGTGTTTTTACACCACCGTTTGCGATTATGGCATCGCACATAGTTTTATCGAAGGGTCTCTGATCGTAGCGTCGCGTTAGCAGCATCCTGCAGTAGTGTTTGCATGATCATATAGCTCAGCATGTGCATTCGGTTTTTTCAGTTTGATTCGGTTCGATTTATATGGTTTTCGGTTTATATGGTTTTTATACTTCGGTTTATACGGTTTTATACATAGATACGGTTCGGTTTCGGTAATAACCATTTGCTTTTGGTTTGGTTTCAGTAATAACTAAAATAACCAAAGTTGACGCAAATTTTTAATCAACACATGGTTTGGCCACATGGAAAAACAAATTTAGTACTTGTCCAATACAACTACAACCTGGTTACCTACTTGAAGAAATTCTGAAACATGTAAGAATTTATGTTCCAGTACAATAGTCTAGTAGAAGACTACGATTAGAACTACAATCACTAATTTAGTACATGTCCATTGAAACCACACGAAGAAATTTTGGAACAAAAACTTGTCCAGTACAAGCACAAGCAGAACTAAACATGCCCAGTACAAGGCTACAAGCAAAGTTCTGGAACATAGAGATGGGGATTGCTAGTAATAGTATATCATGAGCCATTTTTGAAAGGCCCAGTACATACCCAGTACATCAAGATAACAAACTTCAGTACAAAATGCAAATTCTGGAACAACCAAAGTTCAGCTCCAGCTCGAGATAACAAACTTCAGTACAGTACATGTGCAACACACGACAAAGAAACAAAAGGTGCAGATCGAGATAAAATGGCATTTGTTTCATCACTTCAGGGCTTCAGGCAGCAATTTTCCACTCCAGCTCCATGCATGAAGATCAATCAATCGATATTGTTGCATTATCATTTAAATGAATGGCACCCACTTCTACAAAAACAACAGAAATATTGCATGATCAATTAAATAGCATTAATGTTGCATGATCATTGAAGTAACTGAAATACACATTCATTTAAATACCTTCCTCCAGCCTGGTCAACTCAGCAAGATCAGCTTCAACATTGATACACTTAGAACGCAACCAATCTTGTGTGCATATCAACGACTGCAGTGTCGCTGGTGTTAAAGAGCTTCTGAAGTCATCGAGAATACGACCACTGGTGCTGAAAGCTGGTTCAGAAGCAACCGTAGAGATGGGGATTGCTAGTATATCACGAGCCATTTTTGAAAGGATGGGAAAGCGAGGAGCATTGCACTTCCACCATTCAAGAAGGTCAAATTCAGCAGTCAACTCTTCTGTGTCCTCAGCTAGGTACTTGTCTAATTCAGTTCTGGTATTTGTGCTAGTGCTGCCCTCTCCGCAAACTCTCACTCTTTTCTGGTTGTATCGTGACCTCACTAGAGAATTTTCAGAAGCATTTGCACTAGGACGAGCTTGTGATGCTAATTCCCTAGGACGGCTAGGAGTACTGGTTCCATATAATTCTCTATATTCTCCAAAAAGAGAGATAAATTCATTGTGGGAAGATGTCAAGATTCTATTACCTATTATACTGCCATAGGTGTCTTCAATCATGTCTTTAAAGAAATGAGATTCCTTGGTCCTTGCATAAAGAAGTAAGACAAGACAAGACAAGTTAGAAGGGCATTAAGAACAACAGCTATATATATTTGACAAATGAACAACAACCAATCAACCATATACCTTGGATCAAGGATGGCAGCAATGAATATATACTTGTTCATTTTTTCAGGATCACCCTAGTACTTTTCATACTTGGTTTTTATCTTGGTAGCCATGCATTTAAATATTTCATCATCACCATAAATCACATGATCACTCCATTCACCCAACATAAAATGTACATCAGCAATATCTTCCAAGAAGGTGTTGGCTGTAATGTACTTAGTGCCAGAAACCTTATTAGTGAGGAGATAGAAGTGTTGGAGGAATTGTTTGAACTCACGAACATACACCCAATCACTTTGAGTTGGAGGACCCCGCTGATCAGGAGTATCAGGCTTAGGTTTTGGACCAGTTTTTTCTAACCCAGTCTTGTAGTTGGGATCCTGAAGTGCATATTGCTCAAATGCCCTCTCAAATTTCTCAACAGTCTCTAGCATTATAAATGTGGAGTTCCATCTAGTAGCCACATCAATATTAATCAAACCTTTACTCGCTACCTTGCTAAGTTGCACACACTTTTTAAATAAATCCAATCTAGTTGGGGAGGCTCTCACAAACTTGATAGCACTTCGAATTCTGTTTATTGGATGGCACATTATCTTTAGCCCATCTTGGACCACTAGATTAACAATATGTGCCACACACCTCATGTGAAGATACTGACTTTTTGCATGTGTATAGCCTCTATTAGTCAAAGACCTCTTCATGTAGGCTAAGCAAGTGTCATTAGAACTTGCTTTATCAATAGTAATAGTGCACACTCGCTCAATGCCCCACTCAATAAGTAATTTTTCTAATGATTTCCCAATGTCATCCCCTTTGTGTCCATCTACCAAGACAAAGTTGATAATTTTTTTTCTAAGGTTCCACCCAGAATCAATGAAATGTGTAGTAAGGACCATGTAGCTTTGTTGTCTTTTTTATGTCCATGTATCAGTGGTGAGGCAAACAGTTTGACGTGATCCAATGAAATATTTTCTAAGCATAGCTTTCTCAGCTTCATAAAGAGCAATGATATCTCTATACATAGTTGTCCTAGATGGTATAGTGAACCTTGGGCAAGCTTTAGCCACAAACAACCTAAAACCTTATTTCTCTGCAAATATGAATGGAAGCTCATCTATCACTATCATGCGAGCAAATGCTTCTCTAACTTCTTTCTCAATGTATTGCCAAGGAACCACCGAATTACCATCTTCGCTAACTTGGTAGGTAAGCTCGGACTGAGTGCTACATATGTGGGCAGGATTCTTTTCGCAAATCTTCAAATGGTTGACTAAAGAGCAGTACCTGCCGATGCAGATTTGCAACCCAGTACAGCATCACAGTAGTTGCAATTAGCATGATCAGGATCATCTTTCTGAACTATGAAGTGCATCCATGCCTTTGACCTCTTCCGACTTCCCCCCCCCCACACTGCCAGGGGTAACATCAGGATCTATTGAGAGAGGTTGATCAGCAGCAGAACCAGCGCCAAGGTTAACTCTAACACTCTCGGACACCTGTAAAAATAAGTCAGGTAGTTTTCATTCAGTATCAGTGACCATCAGCAGAACCAATACTAAAAAAGTTGCTGAAAAACTAAATAGGATTATAGGAAACACCCATGTTCAGTAACAAACTAGTGAAACCATGCATCCATCCATGTTCAGTAACTAAATAGGAACTAACACCACACATCCATGGGAGATGCTTACCATCTGGTCACGGCGGCTCGCGTCTTCCTCGGGCTCTGACGGTGGCTGTGACGGAGAGCTTCACCTGCGGCGGGGAGGAGCGGGGCCCGATGGATGCGCGCGCCAGAAGCCCAGAAGAACCTGCAGTCGGGAAGATGCTACTGCAAGTCATCACATCTATGTGTGTGTTCGCTACTGAACAACTCTTCTACCAGAGCGAATCAAAAGTGCCTTACCATCCGGCGGCTCGTGTCCTGCTCTGTGGAGGCGTGTGCCGGTGCGCGCGATGGAGGGCGGAGGTCAGCGATGCGGAGGACGGAGGGCAGAAGTCGGCGATGCCGGTGCGTGCGATGTACGACGGAGGGCGCAGGACGAAGGACGGCGAGGCTGATATGCACGACGGACGACGGAGAGCAGAGGATGGCGATGCTGGTGTGCGCAACGGAGGACGGAGGACGGAGGGGAGCGGATGGATGCGCCGGATGGAGTGTGACCTAGCTAGGGCACCGCCGCCATCCCGCTCTCTGCTGCTCTGCTTGTGCGTGTGGGGAATTGGCGAATTGCTAATGCTAGGGTTGAAGCAAGCGTGCGTGAGCTGTGATTGACTGATTCTGTGAAATCTACTGGGCCTTTCGGTTTTGTTCGGTTTAACCGATTTTGTTCGGTTTTAAACCGAAAAACCTGAATGCAATATGGTTTCTTATTTTGCAAACTGAAACCATAACCAAAACCTGAAAAAACCGGAATTTTGGTTCAGTTTAGTTTTTTCGGTTCGGTTTTTGGTTTTCGGTTCGATTTTGCACAGGGTGACATATAGCTGACATAGTGTTTGTGGCTCAGCCACCATTCATCATTTTTCATACATGTTACGCTAGATCATTGCACATCCTGGTACATGCCAGAGGCATTTATATAGAGTCATATTTTGTCATAGGTATCGAGTTGTAATTTTTATTTCTTTCGAATTATAAGTAAATAGAAGTGTGATGATCATCATTATTCATTTTTAGAGCAGTGCCCCAATGAGGAAAGGATGATGGATACTATGATTCCCCCACAAGTCGGGATGAGACTCCGGACAATGAGAAAAAAGAGAAGAAAAAAAGAAAGAAAGAAAGAAAGAAAGAAAGAAAGAAAGAAAGAAAGAAAAGAAAGAAATAAAAAAAGAAAGACATAGAAATAGAAAAATAATAATAAACAAAGAGAGAAGGGGCATTGCTAGTATCCTTTACCACACTTGTGCTTTAAAGTAGCACCATGTTTTCATATGGAGAGTCTCCTATGTTGTCACTTTCATATACTAGTGGGAATTTTTCATTATAGGATTAGATGCACACCCACTTAGTTTTCATACTGAGCTTTCATACACTTATAGCTCTTAGTGCATTCATTGCATGGCAATCCCTACTCCTCATGTTGATACTGATTGATGGGCATCTCCATGGCCCATTGGTTAGCCGCATCGATGTGAGACTTTCTTACCTTTTTGTCTTCTCTATATTTACCCCTATCATCATACTCTATTCCACCCGTAGTGCTATATCCATGGCTTGCGCTCATGTATTGCGTAAGAGTTGAAAAAGCTGAAGTGCGTTAAAAAGTATGAACCAATTGCTCGGCTTGTCATCGGGGTTATGCATGATAAATACTTTGTGTTAAGAAGATAGAGTATGATAAGACTATATGATTTTGTAGGGATAACTTGTTTTAGCATTGATATTTTGAAAGACATGGTTGCTTGTTGATATGCTTGAGTATCTAAATCATCATGTCAAAACTAGACAATTGCTTTGAATCACATAAAAAGTCCAATTGTATATGCTATAAAGAAAATAATATGATATGACATGTTAAACATCACTCCACATCAAAAATTCTATTTTTATCACTTACCTACTCGAGGATGAGTAGGAGTTAAGCTTGGGGATGTTGATACGTCTACAACGTATCTATAATTTTTGTTTATTCAATGCTGTTATATTATCAATCTTGGATGTTTTATAATCATTTTATAGTCATTTTATATCATTTTTTGGTACTAACCTATTGACATAGTGCCAAGTGCCAGTTCCTATTTTTCCGTGTTTTTTACATCAGAGAAAATCAATATCAGACGGAGTCCAAATGCCATGAAACTTTACGGAGATTTTTTTATGGACCAGAAGGAACATGTTGGGCCCTGGTTGCACCTGTGGGAGTCCCGATGAGGGGACAACCCACCAGGGCGCGCCAGGAGGCCCAGGCGCGCCCTGGTGGGTTGTGCCCACCTCGGGTGCCCCCGGACCGCCTATTTGCTCTATAAATACCCAAATATTCCCAAAACCCTAGAGGAATCAACGAAATATTCATCCAGCCGCTGCAGAGTCTAGAACCACTAGATCCAATCTAGACACCATCTCGGATGGGGTTCACCACCTGCATTGGTGCCTCTCCGATGATGCGTGAGTAGTTCTTTGTAGACCTATGGTTCCGTAGTTAGTAGCTAGATGGCTTCATCTCTCTCTCTCTCTCTCTCTTGATTCTCAATACAATGGTCTCTTGGAGATCCATATGATGTAACTCTTTTTGCGATGTGTTTGTTGGGATATGATGAACTTTGAGTTTATGATCAGTCATATCTTTTTATATCCATGAAAGTTATTTGAGTTTATTTGATCTCTTATAACCTCTTATTTCTTCTCCGATATTTGGGTTTTGTTTGGCCAACTTGATCTATTTATATTGCAATGGGAAGAGGTGCCCGGTAGTGGGTTCGATCTTACGGTGCTTGATCCCAGTGACAGAAAGGGAACCAACACGTATGCATCATTGCTACTAAGGATAAAAAGATGGGATCTATATCTACGCAATAGATAAACGGATCTTTTCTACATCATGTCATCGTTATAATTGCATTACTCCATTTTTCCATGAACTTAATACACTAGATGCATGCTGGATAGCGGTCGATGTGTGGAGTAATAGTAGTAGATGCAGGCAGGAGTTAGTCTACTAATCTTGGACGTGATGCCTATGTAATGACCATTGCTTGGATATCGTCATAATTATTTGAGGTTCTATCAATTTCCCAACAGTCATTTGTTTACCCACTGTTTGCTATCTTTCTCGAGAGAAGCCACTAGTGAAACCTACGGCCCCCCGGTCTTCTTCCTCATATATTTGCTTGCGATGTACTTTTCCTTTGCAATTTTATTCAGATCTATTAAACCAAAAATACAAAAAATACTTTGATGCACTTTATTTTATTTGCGATCTATTATTTCAATCTACTACAATTTTCTGGCATCGTTACTCGAAAGGGATTGACAACCCCTTTAACTCGTTGGGTTGCAAGGTGTTGTTATTTGTGTGCAGGTGTTGTTTATGTTGTGTTGCTTGGTTCT